ACCGGACTAGGACCGGCAACGAGATCACAACCCTCGGTGTTGCTCCCGCGCCTCGCTCAGCCAGTGAGCGGGAGCCGGTCTGTATGTGGGATCCGAACCCTCGGACGGGAGCGCCACCGCGCTTCCCAAGCGGCGCACTATCCAGTGCGCCACCGGGCCGGCCCGTTTTTTTAATAGTAGCTATTCTAATGGTTATGAAGTAATAGTTCATCATGGTTTTGATTTGTATTTCTCTAGTGATTAGTGATGTTGACCATCTTTTCATATTCTTGTTGGCCATTTGTATATCTTCTTTGGAGAAAAATGTCTGTTCAAGTCCTTTGCCCATTTTTAAATTGAGTTATTTGTTTTTTATTGGTGTTGAGTTGTTTAAAAACTTTTTAAGGAGTGTTTTCAAGCACATACAAAAAATAGAGTTATATAATGAATGCTTATGTATCCATCCCTCAGTTTCACCAATTATCAATATTTTGCCAACCTTTTTCACCTCCTCCTCCCCACACCTCTAATTTTTTTGTCCCACAGTACCTTAAAATAAATCCCAGATATCAGGTCTTTTACCCATAAATAGTTCAGAATGTTTTTCTAAAGAAGACTATTTTAGAAGCATAAACCAAAACAATTGTCATACCTAGCAAAATTAATTTCTTATAATTATCTAATACCCAATTCATGTTCAATTTTCCCCAGTTGTCTTAAAATGTCTTTTTACCCAATGGTTTATTGCAAATGAGGTCCACATCCTGCGATCGCGTTGATGTTTCTTAACTCTCTCTTAATCTATAACCACCTCCCAACCCCATGTTGTATGGTTGTGGAAGAAACATTTTCACTTGATTGTAGAATCTCCCACATTCTAGATGTCTGATTTTATAGACTGCTTCTTCAGGTTCATGTGTAGGAATAAAGGGTTTGAGGGCAGAGTAGTGGTAGGCGAGGAGATCAGGAAGGAGGCTGGATAGGAAAGGCAGTGGAGGTGGGAGAGGTGGGCTGATGCTGGATGTTTAAAAGGTAGAGTCAAAGAGTGGGATGTGGGTATGAGGTAGAAATAGCTTGGGTGGAGGCAGGGCCAATTCCTGGCCCAGGGGAGGCACAGGCCTGGAGCCCAGAAACCTCCAGATGTGGGTATCATCAGGGAGGGGTGGGTCTGGACCATATAGTACTGACCCAGTGACCCTGCCACCCCTTCAGGTTCCCACTGAAGGACGGTCCCCGGCTGCAGGCCTGGCTGCGGCACATGGGCCGTGAGCACTGGGTGCCCACCTGCCACCAGCACTTGTGCAGTGACCACTTCACGCCGTCCTGCTTCCAGTGGCGCTGGGGCGTGCGCTACCTGCGGCCGGATGCAGTGCCCTCCATCTTTTCCCGGGCGCCACCTGCTAAGGTGAGCACTGGGAGGTCCTACTGCTGGAGTCAGACCCCCGGCCTTCCCCACCTAGGGAACTACCCATGGAATCTGATCTCCAGCTCCCCCCTCCTAAGGGAAGTCCCTCCTTGAGTGTGATCCCCAGCCCTTTTGAGGGAAGTTGCTCCCTGATGTCTGGCCTTACCTGAAGGAAGTCCCCCTTGGAGTGTGATCCTGGTGTCCCCCCACTCCTCTCACCCCATGCCTTGTCTTCCAGAGCCAGTGGAGTAACCGAAGCACTGAGAAGCCGCTAGTGCCTCTGCCTGCTCCTCGGCAGGAGGCTACACCCCTGACCCAGGGCCCCAGCATCCCGGCGTCTGGCCCAGTGCACCTAGTGGTGCTGGGGCCCGCACCTGGGGGCCCTGAGGCTGCAGCCACTGTGCTCCTGACTCCCCTGCCCCTTCCATCTGCTCTTGTGGGGCCGCGGCCTGGACTTTCTGCCCAGCACACCTGGGCCGGGCTGGGTGCGGCACTGGGAGCATTGCAGCGGCGGGTGCGGAGGCTGCAGCGGCGTCAGGAGCGGCACCAGGCGCAGCTGCTGGCTCTGGAGCAGCTGGCGCAGCAGCTGAGCAGGGAGAGCCTGCTAGCGCGGGCGTGCCGGGGCCTGCAGCGCCTGGTGAGTGCCCACCACCGGCCCGTGGCCCCTGCGGGCAGCTCGCCTGGCCCTGACAGCCTGTTTACATTTAAACTAGGGTTCGATATTTAAATATCAGAACATTTCACCCGGATTTCCAAATTTCTGGCTTTTCTTGGAAAAAAAAAATCAATCTGGCAATGCCAAGCAACTGTTTGTTGGTCAGAGCTGAGTATGCTCCATTTATTCATAATAATATTTAAGGAGTTCTTACTCTCTGCCAGACTCAGAATTTTAATAACTTACGGAAAACTCACCAAGATCTTGATACTGCTGTTGTCCCCACTTTCCAGATGAAAGAAACTGAGGCACAGAGCAGTCCAGTCACTTGCCCAAAGTCAGGCAGCCAGTAAGTTGCAGAACCAGGATTCAAACCCAGGTGTCTGGTTCCAGTGGAGGCCGGTGCTCTCCTGTTGGAGAGCTCCCTGCCTGGCCCCTATAGAGCTTGAGTTTGCTTCCCCTGGACTAGTGTCTCCCAGGCCCTGTCTAAAGCCCTTTTGCTCCTATATTTTACTCCTGGGTTATTTTAGGGGCGGGGGCAGGGGGAGGGCTGGAGAAGTGGGGAGGAGTGTCATGTCTCTGAAAATAAAACTTTGACCAAAACTTTCCCCTGCTTAAAACCCAAGGTCCAAGCTTCAGATCCCCAACCTAGTACCCACAACTCTCAGAACCCCACCTAGATGAGAGAGGCATCCAGGCAGAACTATGAATGTTGGACTCATGGGAGGACTCATGGGTCTCCTTTCTGAAGCCCCCACAGTACCTCTGTGGCTAAGGTTTGGACATGACCCACTTATATGATTTGTTTGGCCTCAGAATTGCTTTGAAATAATTTTGGTCTTTCCTGAAGGCTCAGCAGATCTAGCAGCACTGGGTTCATATTCTCAAATAATTGCAGTCAGCTGCAGCTTCAGTGTAGCTGCCCCTAGGGGCTCTAAGTTTGAGACTGTGGCTGAGGCACAGAGGTACAGTAGGGGCAGAGACAGAGCTCAGACTCATGCCTAGGGCTCTTCATGGAGCCTGTCAGGGCTCCTAGGCTGACACTGTCTCTCTCTATCTCTCCTCCCTCCATTCAATCCCTGTCTCTCAATCTCCTTATCTCTCATCCACATTCATTGTCTTTCTGTCCCTCCATCTCTCTGTACCCCCACCTGTCTCCCCATCTCCCCATGTCTTTCTTCATCTGCATCTTTCTGTGTCCCCCATGTTATGTCCCTGTCTCTCCACATCTGCCTGTCCCCACATCTCTCTCCCTGTTTCCCCATACCTTCTTCCTCTCCCATGAATGCCTCTTTGGTGCTCCCATCTGCTTCCCTGCCTCCCTACATCTCTCTACCCACATCTCTTCTCTGTGACACCCCCTCCCACCTTGGCCTCCCTGTTCTTCATCATTTCTGTCTGTCTCTCTCTCCCCCTCCCCCCTCCCTCCCCTGTGTTTTCCATCACTACCGTTTCTTTGCCTGGGATGGCCCAGCTCCCTGGACCTGAGGAATCTCAAACGTTCACCATCATCTGTGAAGGGCTTGACATGGCTGTGGTCCTTGCCCAAGGTCCAGCATCTCCGACATTGGATGCCAAGTCTGAGTTCCTGGGCACTCAGACCCCCAGTGCATGAGGATCAGCACAGACAATGTCATGGAACAAGATAGAAGATGGAGGAGAGAGACTCATCACACGTGGACTTGGCCCAGCCCCACCACCCATGCCTAGGAAGTAGCAGTGCCTCCCTGAAGGACCTGGGTTTACCGCACCCCCCCCCCCCCGGAACCCTTGAATTTAAGGGTGACCAGGGCTCAAGTCCCCCATCAACCCCCATTCCCCTAGGTACCAGGCCCATGCCACCTCTAGCTCAAGTCTTTGCGGTCAGTAAAACACCTCAGAGCAGAACAAGGTTGCTTGTTTGGGGAGCATTGTACCTGGTTCTAAAGAGCCCTCATGCCCTTTGCCAAGCCTGGTGCCAAGTTGGGGAAACAGCAGTGAACACAGCTGAGAAATACCCTGCCCTCATGGTGCTCACATTCTGTTTGACTAGAAGTTGAACTAGTGAACTAATAAACAAGATAACTTCAGACTGTTGCTATAAGTACTGAATAAAAATGTAATTGAGAGGAGGGGGTAGGGGAGAGGGCTGTCTAAGGAGGCAATTTTGAGGAGAGACCTGGATGATGAGAAGGAGCTGGGTCAGTGTTCCAGGGGAAGAGCAACTCCTGGAAAGGCCCTAACGTCTAGAGTGTCAGCTCAAGGAGGGCAGCATTGTAGAGAAAATAAAGTTGGGAATAGAGTGAGGAGGTAGAGGTGAGGAGTGGGGGTGCAATTTTAGGTAGGGAGAGCAGAGAAGATGTTATGAAAAGGCAATCAGTAAGTAAAATCCTAAAAGGGGAAAGAGAACCATGCTGATTATCTGGGAGAAAAGAACTCCAGGCAGAAGGAACAGCCAATGCAAAGGTCCTGGGATGAAGAAGAGCAAAGAGGCCAGTATGCCTGGAGTAGAGTGAACAAAGGGGAGAGTGAGAAGAGGTGAGATTGGAGGGATGATGGACAGGTTCACATATGTCCTTGTGGGCCATGGTTGACAGCATTGGCTTTTCCCTGGAGGAGCAGCAGGAAGCAATTGCCTCTGAGTCAAGGAGGGCTCTGATGTGACAGGTGTTAATAAGTCCCTGTGGCTGCATGTAGGGAGCAGATGGGGAGAGGGAGCAGGGAGAACGGGAAAGAGGCTGCTGCCATAGTCTGGGTGGGAGAAGATGAAGGATGAACCAAGATGAGGGCATGGGGTAGGGGTGGGGGTTGGGGGTGGGGGAGAAGATCTGGAAATACTTTGGAGACAGAGCTTTGGTGGAAGGCAAAGTCACCCACCCCTCTTCAGGCTGCGGTACTTTGGGGCAGAGCAGGTAACAGCCAGCCATGTGTGAGGCCAAGCCAGGATGGTGGAGCTAGAGCCGTGGGCTGGCTCCAGGAGGCCTTCCTGGGGGAGATACAGGTTCTGAGAGGGTTGGAGGGGCCCGTTGGCAGATCTGTCTCCTAGACACTGCTATGGCCATGCAGCATGGTGATTAAGAGCCTAGACTCTACAGCCATGTAGCTTGGTGATTGAGAACCAGATCTATAGACTGCCTGGTTTCAAATTTTAGCTCCATCACCCACTTCTGTGTACCCTTGGGCAAGAGTAAGTGTACCATACTGAGTAAGTGCTGTGTGAGCACTGAATGATAAGGACGACAGAGATTATGATAGGAGTCTCTGCAAAATCACCCCTCAGAGACTCCCCATATATAGGGTAAGCATACTGTAGGTGTCAGATCTGAGATCCCATAGAGAAGAAACCCATCACCACCCCACACTGGGACCTCTTCCCTAAAACTGGCCTGGGTTGCTGGCCTGGGGGAAGGCTCTAGCACGGCGGGGATGGATAAAAAGAGTCGTGCCTGCTTTCCTATCCCTCTTTTTGCCCTTGTCTCTGCTTCATCTCTTTCTGTCTCCGTGTCTCACATGCTCGTCCGTGGCCATCTCTCCTTCCTCTCCCGGTCCTCGGTGTCTATCCACTCCCCGTGGCTGCCTCCAGCCCCTTCATCAACGCTCGCAGCCTCCCAGTGTCTCCGCCCCCGCTCCTGTTGGGGGTAGCACGGCGCATGCGCCGTCAGCGCCCCTCCCTCTCCACCCTCATCCCCCGTCGGCGTCTGGGCCTCGTCCCCTTCTCTCTGTCTCCCACTGTTCCCCCGTCACGTCCCCCGACACTGACATCCCATTGCTCCCGCGGTTTCCCAGTCTCAGCTTTGGTCCCCAGATCGGTCCACCCGCGGTAAGATGGGAAGAGGGGAGGCCTGTGGAGAAGGGGAGGGGCGAAGCATCCTGCATCCCGAGATAAACAAACCCGGGGAGGGGGCGGCGGAGACTGAGGGGCCTGACGCGGGAGGAGAAGAATGGGGGGCTGGGTCTGGGGGAGATGGCAGGCGCTGGGCGCACATACCGGGGCCCTCTGACGGGTAACGGGGGTTCCTATGGTTGCCCAAGATGCAGAGCTGGGGGCGCCGAGGCCACCCGGGGTCCTGGGAGCTTCTGGGGGCTTGGACCCCGGAGTCTCTGGGGTACCCTCTCTAGTTGACCTCTGCCTCCAGGATTTGCCTGAAGTCCGCCCCTAACTCTGCACCCGTCCCCCGAGGGCCACTGAAGATCATGACTAAGACAGATCCCGCCGCGATGGCCCCGCCGCCCCGGGGGGAACAGGAAGAGGAGGAGGAAGACTATGAACCCGTCCCTGAGGTCCCTAGCCCCACTCAGGAGCGCCGGCAGAAGCCTGTTGTGCACCCCTCAGCACCTGCTCCCCTCCCCAAGGACTACGGTAACCACTGTTCTCACCCTGGAATCTGGCCTAGAGCCTTGGGTGGCCAAAGGGGGGTCAGTTGAGCTCTGCTGGTGGTCATGGGGGGGATTCTGGTGAATTTGAAGGTGGTCCAGAGGAATCTTGGCTGCAGGACCCTTGGGTAAACCCCCTGTTCATTAGTTCATTCATTCATTCATTCATCCATTGAAGAATGGAATTAGAATAATTCTTTGATTCATGACACATCATTCAATCATTTAGTCATTCAACAAACATTTATTGAAAGCCACTACGGACCTGGCTGTTTGCTGGGAACTGGGGCCACAGCACAGAACAAGACAGAGCCAGTCTTTGCCCTGAGAGAATTCATACGTCTCAATAACCACACAAATAAATATTAAAAAAAAAATATATATATATATATATATATAATTACAAGATATAATGTGAATTGTGTTTATCAAGAACAGGATGCTTATATATATATATATATATATAATTACAAGATATAATGTGAATTGTGTTTATCAAGAACAGGATGCTGCAAGAACTTTTTAAGATATGGTTTCCCTGATGAGGTAACATTTGAGGGAGATCTGAGGGTGAGCTGGGGTTAATTAAGGGAAAGGTAAGGCAAGGAGGTCCCAGGAGAGGTAACCACAGGAGTAAAGGATCTGAGGTAGGAAGGTGTGGATCTGAGAGGTGCCCTCTTGGAGAAATTGAAAGTGTCTAATCGTTTACCAAGGAATATTTATTGACTGCTGCTATACCATGACAAGCCTTATGCTGGGTGATGGGGATTTAATGGTGAGTGATCCAGGCATGATCCCTGCTCTAGGACAGGAGAGACTAAATAAGTGAACAGATAAATAAATCAGATAAATTCAGACTGGAGTGTGCACTATGAAAGAAATAAAAGATGGAGACATAGTAGATAATGACTAGGAGGCAGCCACTTGAGACAAAGTAGTCAGGGTGTGTCCTTCTGATGAGGTGGCATTTAGGCTGAGTCCCAGAGCATGAGGAGGAATCATCCATAGGAGAGCTAGAGAGAGTTCCAGGCAGAGAGCAGCAAAGGCCCTGAGGCAGAACTGAGTTTGGAACAGAGAGATCATGGAGCTGCATTTAGGGGGTGATCAGAGTTGAGGTGAGTGGTTGACATGGGCCAGATTTGGAAGGACCTTAAAGGCCACAGTGAGGACTTTGGATATAAGTGTGACGGGGAGAGCAGTGTGTGTGTGTGTGGGGGGGGGGGTTGGTGAGTTTGGAACAGAGAGATCATGGAGCTGCATTTAGGGGGTGATCAGAGTTGAGGTGAGTGGTTGACATGGGCCAGATTTGGAAGGACCTTAAAGGCCACAGTGAGGACTTTGGATATAAGTGTGACGGGGAGAGCAGTGTGTGTGTGTGTGGGGGGGGGGTTGGTTAAATAGAGGAGTGGCGGGTCTGATTTATAGTTTTAAAATCTCCCTCTGTCTGGCTACTGGGTACAGAGGGATGGAGTGCAGCCAGAGTTGGGTATAGGAGGGGGGTTTTAGAAGATATTGGCTGGGAATCCCCAACAGCTGTGAGATTCAGAAATTAGGCACTAGGTTCAGAGAGTTGGCATTGCCAGGATAGGGCAGAAGAGATGGTATCTGGGGACATGTCACTTCAACAAGTTGAATTCAGTCTGATAGAAAAATAAGAAAGTTATCTGGGGGCCCAGGGCACAGGTGGATGTGGCTAGATGTGGCTGGGGCCTGTAGCACAGCGGGAAGTCCAAAGGTGTAGACTGGCCTTCCAAGGAATCCTTTTTCCTCAAGGAGGGTTTGGTCACAGAATATGAAGGAATCTGGAAATGTGGTTTAGGACAGAGAGAAAGCTAAGGTGGACTGCAAGAGGAAATTGTGTCTTTGTTTGTTAAATTTGTACATTAATTAAGCAGAGATTGAGCACCTACTGTGTGCCAGGTGCTGTACCCAGCCTTGGGGATAAGGTAGTGAACAAGGCAGAACAGAATCATGGTGTTTACATCCTAGTGAGAGCGACAAATGAGAAAGGAAAAGAAAGAAAGAAAAAAAAAAAAAAAAAGAGGGAAGAGAGGAAGAGAAGGAGGGAGAAAGGAAGGGGTAAACATATTATGTTAAGTAGTGATAAGTGCTTGTGCTATGATAAAAAATTAAAATAGGGTAGGAGATGGAGAAAGGTGGGGGTGCTGATTTAGACAGGGTGATCTGGGGAGACTTCTCTAAGGAGGAGGTGACATTTGAGGAAAGACCTGCAAAACCTAGTGAAGGTCTGAGGGAGGACTGTTCCAGGTGGGAAAAACAGCAA